CCACCCTTCGGAAATTCCAAATTCCTGTGTGGGGTGGGTATGGATAATTTCTGGAACTGCAAAATGTACTCTCTGCTGGCGAATAGTGTAACCCCACAGCTTTCCTATTAGTACCTTTTCTTGATATGTTTTTCTTTCTAATTCAATAGTTTCTTCAGCCTTTCTCTTGGCTTCGTCTAGCTCTTCCATTTGACTTTGTATCTTCTTTAGTTCAATGTTTAGTGTGGAGATCTGAAAAAAAAATTTTTTTTACTTCTAATTATTTAAAAAAATCATATAATGAGTCTGATATGCAAAGTTAAAACCGAGTCTAATCGGTCAGTGGTTAACCATCGGACAGGGTGGGGGGGACTCCTTGATGGTTCAGGGGTATTGGCAGGGTTTGAAGTGTGGCAGCTTTGTCATTGCGTTGTTGTTTGAGCAAGCAGCAAATAATATTTCTCCCCCCCCCCCCCCCCCCCCCCCCCCCACCCCTCAAGTCAGAGGACTAGGGTGTGATGGTAAGTATCTCCACCTCTTAAGGTGTGACGGGTGCCAGGTGGATGGTGGACTGTGGCCCGGTTGCCATGGTCACCTCTGTGAAGGGGCTGGTTAGGAGCGACCACTCCTTCTTCGTACCTGGCACTCATGCCAAACTTATCACTATGATGAGTTTTTACACGGTAATTATGAAGCATTTTTCAAAAAACCGTTATAAGTACAACATGTACCTTATCTTGATGCTCCTTTCTTTCTTTTTCTATTGTCTCCTCGGCTGTTTTTCGCTTTTCTTCTTCTTCTTTTCTTTTCTGCATTAACTCAGAAATCTCTACGCCTGAAGAAGATGCCTGATAACAAACCAATCCAACATGTCAATTCGTTTGGCTCTCGTTACAAGAACAACATCACTACCTGCTTTCCCTATAGTACAAGGCTTAAAATAAGGGCTGATAAGTCGCCAGAAACATTGATGACTGACCAAATTAGTTTTAGCTTGGTCATACTTTGTTTCTGGCTTAACATTACCAGTCGAATGATTGAAAAGGCAAAGATTTGACTTGACAAGTTCCAGTTCTGTCCCAACTTTGCCCGTGTCCAGCCGATATTTGAAGCCCTAGAGTAACTAAAAACAAAACTACAACAAAACCTCTTATTATTATATTAACTTTTACTAAGGGAATAAAGGTTACCACTGGGAAAGTTCAATTGTGTCTTGTCTCTGGATTCTATGGTTTGATTGTCAGACTAGGAATCACATGTGAGTAGAGTTTGTTAGGTCTCTCCCTTGATGCAAAGGTTTTCCTCTGGGTTTTCTGGTTTTTCTTTCTTCACTAACCCTATCACGCTTAATTCCAACTTGATCTGTGAGCTATTTGTGCCCTGACTTTGCTCAGTTTAGAGGCTGGTTCAGGGTATTGATAAGATCTGATTAAAAAGTGTTTTCCCCTGCTTTTATCAAGATAAACCCTATATCTCAAGCCTAATATTAGGCTGCGTTCATAATGTATGGCAGAGGGGGGAGGGGGGGGGGGGAGGTGAAAATTTGAAATGTCCAAAATAATTTTTAACACCCCCCTTAAAGTCATGCAAAAAAATATGATCCCCCCTAAGCAAGGCTTGTAGCTTCTTCCAAAGATTGTGCATCCCCCCATTTTTCTG